CAAAATTCCAACTTTAATAAGTCTCAATATCCTTTATTTGGATATATGACAAAGCCTTTTATGCCACAAGTCAGCTGAAGATTCTTTTGGCGCACTCCTTTTAACACAAACATCACATTAAATAAGGAATTAACAAAGTCATCATTAAGATTGAAACAGTAAAGTGTATCCAACAAAACACCAGAACCATAAAGGTTTTTGTTGATACAAACATTTGTTTCCAATCTTAAAGTAAAAACTCAATGTTTCTAACCTAGCTGTTGAAACAAGATTTCTAGAACAATTTGGAACATACAGACAATTCTCAAGATCAAGGCAAAAACCTGTATCCAGCTTAATTCTGTAAGTTCCAATACCTTCAATTCTAGCTTTCATCATGTTTCCCATGAAAAGACACTTTTCATTTTCCCTGTGAGGTTAAAACATCAAAAATTTTGCTTAATGTTATAAACATGTGTTGTAGCACCAGTGCCAACCACCAAGTATTAGAAGGAACCTTAACAAGACTGGATTCAAAGCATACTGAAACTGAATGTATACTTTTATTTCCATCCAAGCTTTCCTCTTCAGGCATTCAGCCTTCTTGTGCCCAGGTTTGTTACGGAAATAGCATTTCTGCACTTTCTGAACATTACCTTGCACCTTCATAGGATGCTTGACCTCTTTTTTTCCTTTCAGACTTGCTGCCATTATTACTGACATCATAACTGTCACTGTTATAGCGTGATACGATAGTGTTCGCTGCAAACATTTATCTCACAAATCAATTGATTTGAGTAACAAACCTTTATTCAGACTATAATTTATAGACCTTAAGTTTGCATTTAAATCCACCTTTGGGTCAAATTTAAATACAATGTCAATTTACCGACATGCATCATTCACACATACTTGAATGAGACTATTCATCAAGTTTCAATTTAATATATAGGCCATCTTTGGACATGCACTACATATTAACAAAACAAGAATCATAATCTCCTAAATTGTCATTAATCACATGTCTGATCTACCTTTGGGCAACCGCTAGAACCATGTGTTAATGATCACAAATGTTTATCAATCCTTTAGTGTCATTCAACGATGCAAAATACTTGTGTACGATAAACATTTGTAAACATAAATAATTATTTAGCTATTTCCTTGAGTGGGCCACTTTGGTGACTAACGCACTCGCCTTATGCTAATAATTTATTTATGTGAATAAACCTTAATTTATGTTGCAAACATAAACATAAATGATCATTTAGCTATTACCATGAGTGGGCCGCTTTGGCGACTAACACACTCGCCTTATGCTAATAAATCATTTATGTGAATAAACCTTAATTTATATATATGTTGTAAACATAAACATAAATGATTAATTAGCTATTACCATGAGTGGGCCGCTTTGGCGACTAACACACTCGCCTTATGCTAATAGTTCATTTATAAACATATATATATAAATTAGTAATGGATACAACCACCAACCATAATTATATTGATCCCAAATGAGCCTATAATTTAAAGCAAGTCCTTAATGCCTTAAATAAACCAAACGGCTCAAATATAAACTCAAATTAAATGAACCTAGAATTTAAAGCAAATCCATAATACTTTAAATAGCTCAAATAGACTCAAATATAAACACAAATTAAATGAGCCTAAAATTAAATTTAAAGTGAGTCCATAATACTTTAAATAAACCCAAATAGGCTCAATCATAAACACAAATTAAATGAGTCTAAAATTTAAAGTGAGTCCATAATACTTTAAATAACTCAAATAAACTCAATTTAATTTGTCCAAATAAATAATCCATTACCTCGATTAATTATTTGAGCCCAAAACTCAAAAACTGTCTTCAGCAACCTAGGTGGAATGCAGACCAACCTCACCGCCGTCAATTAGGTCGCACCGCCAACCACGTTGAATCCCAACGAAAGTGTTGATTCCAATGATTCAATTCCAAATCATATATACATTACAGTACATACATGTATGACATATATGCGATGTTGATTCCAAGAAAACATTACGTATTCATAGCAGTACACATATACAATTGATTTTGATTTCAACAACATACAAATCAATTTTGTTTCGTATGAACAGTACAAACACTTGAAACATATATATGTTGGATGGCTTTGAACAATGCGTACAGATTGCAATACAATTGATTCCAAAACACAAACATAAATCAATTTATACATATATTCAATACATACGCAATTTTGATTCCATCATCAGCGAACACAAATCACACGGCAGTGATAATACCTTATAATTAAAAATCCCCAAATATCATGAACCCTAATTTTAGTGATTAATCAATTTACAAGCAGGTTCTGATACCAAATGTTAAATAATCCTTTATGCGCTATAACTTAAATGCGGAAGCACAATTAACAATGATAGCATGTAAATCAAATCAATCAACTAAACAATGTTCATGATCATGGACTTTTAATTAAATAGGAAAGATAGAACTTACTTGGTTGCATTGAAGATGTAATCTTTAAATTGAATGAATCAAGAATATAATTATTTCCTAACATCCTAATCCTAGTTGAAATTCCTATTCTCCTATGCCTTTCAACCCTTTCTATTTATTTTTATACCATCTATTTTTCTAGTTGCTTTTATTATTTCATTATCCAAAAACCATTTTGCTTGGGCTAGATTTCTACTAGAAGAGATATTACTTTGTGCTTGAGAGGTAAATTGCTCAATTCCTATTGCCATTCATTGAGAACGATATTCGTTGTGAGGATACCATCTCATACAATCTCACCCACAAAAACTACTTCCATTATCACCGACAAATTGCCCGCACTAAAATTCTTTTTCCCATTCCTAATGTTTAAATCCATGAACCAATCACACCCTAAGGGGGGTGTATTCAATCATGACTTTTGTAGAGTTTTAAAGACTTTTAAAATGATAGATTTTAATAAACTTTGATTGACTTTCATAGAGTCGTTCAAAACTTTTTAAAACTTTATAAGACTCTATAAAAGTCTATATAAAAAACATTCATAGACTTTTATCAACTTTTTATTTTAAAAAGTCTACAAAAGTCATTGAAATTCTAAATTGAATACATCCTTACAAACTTTCAAATAATAAAAATCAAAATATATAAGTATTTATATGAATATTATGAAACATATACTAAAATTTGACGATGAAAAATTTGCTTTGTTCATGTATTTAAGGAGAATTAGAGAAAGTTAGGGATAAAAAATTCATAGAAAAAAAAACCAATATAAACAAGCAATAATGAAGTAAAAATAATATTATTTCGAATTTTTAGATGAAGATTCTAAAGTTTATGAGAGAGAGAAAAATTGGTAGAGTTTACGTATGAGGAAAATATAGGATAATGAAGAAAAAAATAATTTTATTGAATTTAGATAGGTTTATAGAGTTTAAATAGGGAGAAAAAAATAAAGTTTAAATAGAGAGAGAAAACATTCAAAGTTGTTAGAAAGAAAATTTGAAATCTTGGGGTTGATGGTTGGATTTCAACTATTTATATTTGAGAAGGAAAAGTCTACAAAAGTCTTAAAATTAAAAAGTCTACAAAAGTTCATAACTTTTTGAATACCACATGACTTTTAAAAACTCTTTAAAAGTCTTAATCGAATACCACCCGACTTTTAAAGACTCTTTAACAATCTTGATTGAATACCGCCTGACTTTTAAAGACTCCCTAAAAGTTTGAATTGAATACCTCCAAACTTTTAAAGTTCATAAAAGTCTTTAAAACTCTATAAAAGTCATGATTGAATACACCCTCCTAAGTTTTCCCAATTTATGGATTTGAAAAACTATGCAAATTTGAAGAGAATTAGAAAATACAATTGAGAAGTAAAATACGATATTGTTTTTAGTATTAAACAATTAATATAACCTTAATTTGCATACCTAAAAATTATTGATCATAATTGTATGCTGTATGTTTCTTAAACAACTGAGATAAAATATTTTCAATATTTTAAACCAAAAAAATATTCAATGCAGAAAATATGTGGTCATTCACGCATCGAATATCAGGGGTTGACAATCAATTATTGCAAATAAAGAAAATAATAGAAATGCAAATTAAATAAGAAGGTAGGTCCATCTTCATCATTAAGTTGTTGGTGAGACCACATTCAATAATGGAATAAATTTTATTTTATTATTTTCCATTTCAAGTTTTCTAGAAAGTTATTTAGTTTAAAGTTTGAATTTAGGTTGTGTTTGTAAATTCGGAAAATGATTTCTGAAATTCATTTTTTGAGTTTTTAGTGTTTGGATGTACATGGAAAATTCAGTCAACGAAAACCATTTTTCATTGACTGAAGAAAATAAGGTCATTTTGGCGAAAAATGACTTCCGCAAAAATTTGGCGATTCCGCCAAACACACAACAAAGTTTTCGGCGAAAACCAGTAATTTTTTTTTTAAAAATAATAAATAAAATTATATTTAATATTGTTATAAATATTTTATATTCTAAATAAAATAATTAAAATATTAAATTATAAAATTCTACTGATTTTCTAAAAAAAAAACCAAACACACCAAGATAATTTTCTAGAATACAACCAAACACCGAAAATGAAAATATTTTCTGAAAAATTATTAATTTTCCATAAAACATTTTCCTGCTTTCCAAACCCTTAACAGAATTTGCACCAATTCGAAATGCATTATTCTGATAGGTTGCATACTTGCATAACCATGTCGTATTAGTTAATTTCGTGAACTAAGATCCACTATATTTATTGTGTATCCTGATATAGATTATTATCTGTAATTAATATATTATTTTCTTAGTTTAACATTATTGTAACTTCATATCATAGTATAATAATTGTACGTAAATAAACTTATGATGCATAATATATTAATTGCAGGTACACACAACTTGCCCAGTCATCTTTGGTTTTGAAAAAGCTCTCGACCGTTGCCTTATTTTGGTAAGTCTGGGAGCGATCCACCTTTCCCGCGATTTCCTTTCGCATGCAGCTTTCGGCGGATCCACCGCCGGCGTCCGGCGCCCCGCCTGATGGCGAACCAACAAGGAACTTCAAAAGGTTTAGGGCAACTAAGAGATCCTTTGCCGATGCGGTAACGGAGGTAGCCAGAACCGGTGATGATATGATGATGGAAGCTGACAAAGAGGATTGGCTGAGTGAAGAGGTACTGGCTGCTTTGGATGAAGAAGTCGTTCCTCCGACGAATCCGTTGGGCCTTCCGGTGGTCACGTTCTCTAAGGAACTTCGCAAAGAGATTGTTCAGCCATGGAGAAATGCTCTAACGCTAAAATTCCTGGGTAAGCGCATCACTTTCAATGTTCTGCTGAATCGCCTCTCCAAACTGTGGAATACAGAGGGTAGGTTCCAGTTGATTGATCTGGGTTTCAATTGGTACGTAGTCCGGTTCGATCGGCCGAAGGATTGCTTGAATGTCCTCGTCGATGGTCCTTACAAGGTTCTCAATCATTATGTCGTGCCACAGCGTTGGACGCCAAGGTTCAAGCCGGCGAAGGCGACTATCGAGAAAATGACGGTATGGGTTAGGTTGCCGGAGCTTCCGGTGGAACTCTTTCGTGATGATACTATCCGACAGATATTGAAGCAAGTTGGAACCCCGATCAAACTGGATAAATCGACTTCTGGAATGGAGAAGGGGCGCTTTGCTCGCGCCGCTGTGGAGATTGACCTCAAGAAGCCCCTTGCGTCGTTGATAATTGTCGGGGATTGGATCCAGTAGGTTGAGTTCGAGGGGTTGCATACCATTTGTTTTGATTGTGATGAGGTAGGACACAAATCCAATTCCTGCCCTAAAAATTCTCCGGCGACCGCAGTTCAGACGGAACAGCAGGACCAACATATTGACGTTTCCATGGAACAAACTGAGATTCCGGTCACCACCCCTAATCAACCTTTTCTAGAACCAAAGAGGTATGGGCAGTGGATGATAGTTCAGGATAGACGTAGTAACCATGGGAAACAGGGGAAGAAGCCACCGCCCAAAGAGTCAAAGAAAGACTTCGTGGCGAAGAAAAATGATAAAGAGAATCCGCAGGCACAATCAACGCGATCGGCGCAGAAAGATAAAGGGAAATCTCCGGACCAATCTTCGAACATGTTTGCTGCCCTCCAGGAATCGCCGGAGATGCCCAGTTCAGTGGAGGTTAGCCCTTCGGCGGTCTTGGATGCGCAGGGAGACACACAACCGCCCTCCGATTCTACAGGTAAAGCTACATACGACCTCTTTTGTATCTAACCATCTTTCAAGTGATCTCGCCATGCAGGGAGGTTCCAGCGTGGGAATTTTGTCTTGTATTACTGGGAAAGCCTCCGCTTCTAGACCTAAGAAGGGCAATATGAGGAAGAACCAGAGGACCGCTTCTACTCCCAGATTTAAACATGGAGATAACTACACTGTTTCGGCCAGCCTTCCCGGAAATGAGACCGGCACTTTCATTTTTGGCCACCAAAATCATAGTAGTGTCCAATCTATGGACCTGAATTGCGCACCGGAAGAAAGCGGTAATCTTGTTTCTTCCACTACTGTCTCTTCTCCATGATTTTTATTGCTTGGAACTGCAGGGGTGTGAAAAGTGGTGGTACTAGGCGGCATGCTAGAGAGCTCCTGAAAAGGCCAGATGTTAGTGCTCTTTGTTATTTGGAGACAAAGTCCAAAGTGGCGGACTGCTTACTTAGAATGGCTGACAAGCTTGGTTTTGGTTCATCCTTTATGGTGGACCCTCTTGGTTTTGCGGGTGGCTTACTTTTAATTTGGAACAAAGACCGTGTCCCGCTGTCGGTAGTTGGGCACAATTCCCAATCCATTCATACCTTGATTCCTCAACACAATGGTAAGAATTTTCGCATTTCCTTTGCTTATGTTAGGCCCAATCGTAGGGCGAAAGATTTGTTTTGGCAGGGCTACAGGGATTACTCTACTACCTTTCAGGACCCTTGGGTCGTCCTCGGTGATTTTAATGATATCTCTGGTCAATCTGACTAGTGGGGTGTTGGGGAGATCATTCCTAGTTCTGTTGACAGATTTCTGGAGGGGATGAATGACTGTAGGCTCATGGACCTTGGTACCTCTGGGTCGAAATACTCTTGGTTCAGGAAAGTGGGTGGCAGGGTCACTCTCAGAAGGAAGCTAGATCGTGTGCTTTGGAACATGGAAGCTTAGCTTTTCTTCCCAGAGGGCAAAGGGCATATCTTGCCTTGTACACGTTCAGACCATCATCCTATTCAGTTCTTGAGTGAGGCGGCCACACCCCCTCCCAGAAATGAGAGACCTTTCAGGTTTGAGGCGGCGTGGCTTTTGAGAGATGATTACTGGGACACATGGAAACAAGCCTGGGATCCTTTAGGGGATAACATTTCCGGAGCCATTGACCGGGTGGGTAAGTTGTCCAAAGATTGGAATCTCAAAACTTTCGGGAACATCTTTCACAGGAAGAAAATGATTCTTGCTAGGATCGCGGGGATACAAGCCTCGCCCAATTATGGATCGAACAGGACCCTGATGAACCTCGAAATTAGGCTCGTGGATGAGCTCAATAATATTCTTAAACAAGAAGAGGTGTTCTGGTATCAAAAATCACGGAAAGATTGGATCCAGGATGGCGACAAGAACACCACGTTCTATCACAAGGCGACGTTGATTAGAAGAAACCGTTCGAGAATCACCATGCTTAAAATCGACGGTGAGTGGATTTCCAACCCCCAAATTATTAAGGACCATATTGCTAACTACTTTAAATGTCTTTTTGGCAGGGCTCTGGACGGTTCTATTGAGACCCCCACACTTATGTGTGGGCGCAGCATGAGTAACAGACAATCCCAATACTTGAACCGCTATGCCTCTCTGGATGAGGTTCGCCACGCAGTTTTTGGCATGAAACAGTTTGGGAGCCCGAGACCCGATGGAATCCAAGCAGCTTTCTACCAACAGTATTGGGATACCGTTGGTATTCCTGTTACGGACTTCGTGAATTCTTGTCTCTCTTCAGGTACCATCCCAGTCGGGATGCTGGAAGCTTACATGACCCTGATTCCCAAAAAGGACAACCCGGAGAATGCGGGGGACTTTAGACCAATCACCCTTCTGAATGTGATTTTCAAGATCGTCTCTAAAGTCCTCGTCAACCGATTCAGACCTATTATGAAGAAACTGGTAGGTCCCTTTCAAAACAGCTTTTTGCCAGGAAGATCCACGATGGATAACATTGTTTTGGCTCAAGAGGTGATCCATAATCTCAATAAATCCAAGGGTAAAAAAGGTTTCATGGTTCTCAAGCTTGACATCCATAAGGCCTACGACAGCCTCGATTGGGGGTTCCTGGAATCGGTCCTTACCAATCTTAACCTTCCTGCTCGGTTGGTTTCTTTGATCTTGTTCTCTCTCAAAGAGAGCACCATCTCGGTCAACTGGAACGGAGGTAAGCTTCCTCCTTTTGGGGTGGGGAGAGGGGTCAGACAAGGTGACCCCTTGGCTCCCTATTTGTTTATTCTTGCTATGGAGACCCTCTCTTGGGCTATTCAGAATGAAGTCAACAAAGGTCACTGGATTCCTTATAAGGTGGCCCGTGGGGGGACCAACATCTCCCACCTTTTCTTCGCGGATGACCTCATTCTATTTGGGGAAGCTTCTGAACATCAACTCAAGATCATCTTATCGGTAGTGGACAAATTTACCCGCCAATCAGGTTTGTCTATCAGTCTGAATAAATCTATTATTTATTGTTCCCCTAACACCAGTGACAGGTTGAAACGGCGTCTCGGAGAAATTGCAGGGATCCCGATCTCCGACAACATGGGAAAATACTTGGGCATTCCCATTCACCAGAAGAGAGTTACAAACGGCACTTTTGATTATATCCTTGATCAAATGAGGAAGAGGCTTTCAGGCTGGAAAAGTGACTCCCTTAGCCTTGCGGGGCGCAGGATCCTGACGCAGTCGGCCCTAGCTACCATTCCGATTTATACGATGCAAGCCCTATCTCTCCCGAAAGGCACGTGTAACAGCATCGATAAGATTTGTAGAGATTTTCTTTGGGGGGATACTCCAGAAAAAAAAAAAAAAAGTCCATTTGGTCAACTGGGACGAAGTGTGCCAACCCCGGGATACGGGAGGTCTAGGCCTTCGTAAAGCTAGCCACTTTAATGAAGCTCTTTTGGCCAAACTTGCTTGGCAAATGTGTGGTAATTCTGACAAGTTGTGGATAAGCATTATGAGAGAGAAATATGTGAAGCATGGAGACTTCTTTTCTGCTCCAGTCCCTGGGCACGCTTCATGGGCATGGAAAAGCATCATTAAAGGGAGAAAAATTGTCGTCTCCAACGCAGCTTGGAAAGTTGGGAACGGCAACTCGATCAACATGTGGACAGACTGGTGGGTAGGGGCGAGACCTCTCAGGTTCGAGTAGAGCGTGGAAATCCCGGAGGGCCTCGAATCTTGCAAAGTCAATGACTTCATTCTTCATAATAGGTCTTGGGATGTACCTAAACTTCAGGAAATTCTCCCAGAGACTCTGATCAACACCATTCGAGCGGTTCCAATTCCTTTTGATGGCACGACCAAAGACGCTATTGGATGGGCAGGAAGCGATTCAGGTAAATTCTCTACGAAATCTGCTTACTCTTGTCTTGCAGGTACCGATGAGATCAATAAGGATTGGATGTGGCTCTGGAAGCTAAAGTGCTGGGAAAAAATCAAAGTGTTCATATGGCTTATCCTTAAAGGCCGGTTGCTGACCAACGCGGAGCGATTTAGGAGGCATCTAGCGGACTCGGGTAGATGTCCGTGCTGCGACCTGGAAGAGGAGTCGCTCAAGCATCTGTTCTGGGATTGCAGCGCCATTCAGACGACTTGGCACCTTACCGACACACCAACCTGCTTCGGGTTCCCGGTGCACTGGTCGATCGAACACTGGATCGAAACAAACTGCTCTATTAAACAGGATCACTCTTGGCCTTCCCGCTTTGCTTTCACTCTGTGGTCCAGATGGAAGAACAGGAACGCTTGGACTTTCCAGAATCAGAAAGTTACTCCTTTGGCTTCGGTCCTCTGGGTGAACGATCGTGTGAAGGAGCTGGCTACTGTGACGACACCTGGAACGGTGAAACATGCAAGCGCGGACTGGGTTCAGTGGTTTCCTCCGAGACAAGGGTGGTACAAGCTCAACACAGACGGAGACGTTAAAGGTAACTCGGGTCTTGCTTCGGCCGGCGGTTTAGTCCGGGATGACAGGGGGACCTTGGTTTGGGGTTTCACTGCGAAGATTGGGATAACGGATAGCTTCGCGGCAGAACTGTGGGGCCTAAGGGAGGGTCTACGGCTTTGCCTCAAGAGGGGGGTTCGTCAGGTTATGGTCGAAATGGACTCTAAATCCATTATAGACCTGTTGCATAAGGATGCACAGTTGGAAGACACTGGGTGTACGTTACTCTTCGACTGCATGGCGATGATCCCAAAGTTTGAGGGGATTCGGTTCAAGCACATCTTCAGGGAAGGCAATACTTGCGCGGATTTCTTGGCCAATCTGGCACAAGGGAAAGACTGGGGAACGTGGGTTTTCACGGAAGCAATGGATGGCTTGGTCCCCCTCCTAGTTCGCGACAAGGGAGGGTTTTCCACTCGCAGAGTTAGATAGTTGAGGCTCAGCCTCTCTTTCCTCACCAAAAAAAAAATATTAATTGCAGGTACATAATGTAAATGGATTAGGATCCATAATGCGTATGATAAACACTGACCACAAAATAACAATTGTTAATTTTGTGGGATGACTCGTGGGTTGGTGTATGATTTTATTTTTTTATTTTTTTATTTTTTTGTGCTGATATATTTTTGGGTTAGTTTTTCATTTTTGCATTCCGATTTCAATTATTTAATTTTATTGGATGCAAAAATGCATATTTTATCTTTATAGATTAAAATTTATTCATCATTTCAAAATTTTTTTTAAATACTATTCTCATCAATACTTCATTTTGGAAGCTACTCAAAATTTTTACCCACAGATTAGCAATGCAAACTAGTTCATATTTATTAGGAATATATATACAAGTGTAATTTAGATTTTGATTATGCAATGTAAAATTAAGACTATGTTTAAAGTACGTCAAAATGTACGTCTATAAAGCGAAGGACTACAACATAGGTTTACAAAAGAAAAAGTTCATGATCAACCAACAAGACATGTTAAACAGCAAAGGGTACGCAACATAGCGGAAGTCTTAAAAGCATCTCCAATAGTTAAGTTTTTGCACAAGTTTTTAGGAGACAAGTAAGAAAGATGAGAGAAGAAAAAACAACAAGAAAAATGAGTTTTCTAAAAAAAAAAAAAAGAAAAAAAAGGAACGGTTAATGCGTTGGGCGCTCTTGATGCGCATGCACACGAAGGAGTTTATTTGTTTTTTTTTTTTTTTAGAGCCCATTGATTAGTAAAAACCAGAGTCTCCTACAAAGACCTAAGACCTTCTCTCCCCTATTTCTCTCTCCTCCACATGTCCTTTAAATCCTGCAAAAATCATTTAAGAACCTTCTATTGGAGATGCTGATGAGAACTGTAATAATTATATTGAATGAGATGTCTTTGATAACTGTACAGACTAGGGGAATATATACAAGAGGAATCATAGGGAGACTAGGATAGGAAGTCATAATAAGACTCAAATACATAGAGTCCTAATTCTAGTCCTAATACACCCCCCCCCCCCCCCCGCCCCCTCAAGCACATGGTATGCTAGTAACCTGTAGATTGTCTCTAAGAAAAGAAAATCTAGGACTAGGCAAAACTTTTGTAAATATATCTACAAGTTGATCTTTTGTTGAGATGAAATTGACTTGAATATCTCCAGCAGCAACTTTATCTCGAAAAAAGTGATAATATATCTCAATGTGTTTGGTACGAGCATGGAAGATGGGATTTGCACAGATAAGTAGCACGCCAAGATTATCACACCATAGTTTGGGGATAGAGATATCTAGAACTTTGATCTCACGTAGTAGTGAAACGATCCAAGTTACTTCAGCACAAACATCTGCTAGAGCTTTATATTCAGCTCCAGTAGAAGATCTAGTCACAGTTCTTTGATTCTAACAGATCCAAGATATAAGATTAGTCCCCAAAAAGACATCAAAACCACTAGTGGACTTACGATCTTCAGGACAACCAGCCCAATCAGAATCAGAAAAAGCATGAATTTCCTTTCACATTGATTTCCGTATACGCAACCCAAACCGAATTGTTCCTTTAACATACCTCAAGACACGTTTCAGATGCTCCCAATGTGATGTGGTAGGAGCACGCATGTGCTGACAAAGCTGATTAACCGCAAAGGATAAATCAGGTCCTGTAACAGTGAGATATTGTAGTGCTCCAGCCAAACTCCTGTACTGCGTAAGATCATCATATAAGTCTTCACTAAAGGGAACAATTTTCGAGACAGATATAGGAGTAGAAAGAGGTTTGCATTCCGCAATTCTAGCACGTTTTAAAATATCATTCATATGTCGTTGTTAAGACAATAGGATTCCATCATCACATTTAACAGTTTCAATGCCAAGGAAAAAATTTGGTTCACCAAGATCTCTAATCTTGAAAGTGGCAGACAATTTTGAGAGTAAGTGAGTAACTAGGGCCTGATCACTTCCCATTACAAGAATATCATCCAGATAGACCAACAAATAAACCAGTGCAGAATCTTGAGAGAAATAGAATAGAGAGACATTTGTCTTTGATGCTTGAACCAACGGATATTAAAAACGTGTGTAAACGATTAAACCAAGCTCTATGAGCTTGTTTTAATCCATACAGTGAATGTTTGAATAAGCAAACATGGTGTGGAAAAGTAGCATCAATATAACCCGGGGGTTGCTTCATATAAACAGTTTCATCCAAATTTCCATTAAAAAAAAAGCATAATGGACATCTAGCTTCCTGATAACCCATCGAAGTGATAAAGCTAAGGATAATAGAAGCCTTACTTTAACACCCCGTGTTACGGCCTCCGTATCCGGATTAATTATTTAATTAATTTCGTTACCATATAATTAAGAATGATTTAATTAGACTAGAATCCCCATCAATTAATTAGCGTGGTCCACAATGGGCCATGGACCCTTACCCTTAACCAAGTCCTTAATCCTATAAGGAATAGGATAAGTGGACCTTTACCATTCAGACCCTAGTTGGGACTCCTGAATCTATATATAGGGACTTAGAAAGCATTTAGAAACCCTACCACAGTTAATTCTACCACACAAGATATTCCCGAAGAAAAACCCACAGAGGAATTCCCCCTGCCACCAAACGTAGAAGAATCCACTAGAGGGAAATCTTAGAGAAAAACCTTAGTAGCCAAGGATATTGATTAGGGCTAAGAGGTAACCCATGTCTCGACAAAACCTATTTTCCTTGCTATATCTTATTTATTGGCTCCTTTGATAATCGTATGTGTAATTCTGTGATTGAGTCTTGATAGAGCCCTTGCATAGGATTCATATTGTGTTTATTTGATAATCTTGATGTTCTTGATATTGTGATTGATTATATGAATGATCTTGTATTTTAATTATGTCTAGAGCCCTCGGGTTTATATCGTGAATTTTGTATTATGATGTTCTTGGTATATTTGGGTGGGATTATGCATGATCGGGTCCTGAGTCTAGCCTAGGACTCGTGTTGTTGTGGTTCCTGATGTTCCTGAACCGTTATATGATTAATGTGGAGTCTTGGCATGTTTAGGAATCGTGTTAGAACGTATTCGGTGTGATTCTTGATTTAAATCCGCTAATTGAATCCGTGGTGTTGTCGTTATGTGTTTGAATGTGTCTGGACATGGTTCCGGGTTCCACGAGTGATCCCGAGACCGAAAAGTTGCCTGTATACCAGTGGGGGGTAGGTGGTGGTGTGACCACCCGCTGCCCGCGTTCACTGTTCCAGCGGGCAGCCGGCGGGCCACCCGCTGGAATAGCGAGTGGCCGCCGGCGGGTGGCTGGTCACCCACCCGCCACCTACTCGCTGGAAACCCGGCATGGTTCGTGGCGTTTTTCCCCGTTTGATGTTTCCCCGTGTCCCGTTGTACCCCGTTTGTCGTGTATGAGTCTCGCTTGGTGTTTCGGGTATCATTCTAGGATTTTATGTGTAATACGTGTCGTTGTTGTTGTGTCTGGATTGTCATTTGATTATGTGTTAATTGATTGAATGATGATGAGTATCGTGGTCATTGCGCAATTGTAACACCCCCTTAAAAACATGCTATTTAAAAGCCTTAAACATGCAGATAACTGAACTAAACAACAAACACAGCGGAAGACTGAAAGATAGATAGATAGACATAATCCGGAACACGGGGTGTTATGCCACGTTCACCAAAAGGATGAACGCACCGGCAACATCTCCAATGTTTACATCTAAACCCATTGTCTCAAAGTTCTATATCTAAGCTAGCACACAGGCCACAAAACGAAAGGGAGAAGCTATACTAGCAAGCACTAGACCGCGCACTCGTCTAGACATCACCTGAAAGAACACAATAAAACATGGGACGACGCCCGGTCAGCGAATAATGCTGGTAACCCACCAATACACGTGAAATATCATACATAGATAAGATATACATTTGTAAAGCCATTTTCGAAACAGAATACATATATATTTAAGTGCAAAACCAAGAGTAATCGTCAACACAAGACTTAACACTCATAACAAGAACACTGGAACACATCCCAAGACCACAAGGACAACAACAACTCAAAAGGATAAAGATAAGACCAACGGCAACACATGCCTTTGTGACTACACACATCACAAGAAGAGAACTCACAACAACGGCTACACAAGCCCTCGTGACATCACCCATCACGAGTTGATATGCCTTCCTTATGCCCGGTTCCAACCTTATGGCTACCCCCAACCTTATTTCTAGTTCCAACCTTTACCTCCAGGACCCCTGTACACCAAGTCCAACCTTATTCCTCCGGGAACCGTCGTTCCCCCTCCAACAGTCCCTCCAACAAAACCACCAATTTCATAGTACACGAGGGTACCGATAACACAAGGCAACACATGCCCTGGATAACACATGTTATCCTAGAAATAAACACGTGAACCTTACACAAAGGCCACAGCTCCATAATCACGTCACGGCCACCACGAGGACCGCTGCAATACCTTGGTGACTAGTGTCCCATACCACTAATCATGCAATCCAGGTAGAGCCACACACACATCACACCTCAACAGGAATCAATCAACGGATCACAACGAAGATATGAAACCATACTCAATCAAGGAATGGATCACAGTCCAACAACAATAACGATGAATAACACAAGTTATCATCAACCAATAAGAAGGTACAAACAACACACACGCTAGCATTTAAACATCGAACTAGCATGCTTATCAAACGGGTAAACCAAACGTAGTTCCAAAGAACACACAAGACTCATCACGGTTCAACAAAACACAAAGTTGAACACTTAGCACGATTCAAGACACCAAAACCTACATGGATTCCTACCCTATAGTTCTAGACATACGAAACATAAAGAAGAAACTCAAATAGTTCCACAAAAGAACAACGGGAAGTCAAAAGACCAAATACCGAGTCAAAAGAATCACGGGGAACAAATCCCGATCCAACA